CCCTGTTCACTCACAACTCTTCTGATAAACTAAAGGAATCCAACAGAGCTCAACACAAATTGGATACCTTCAGATTCCTGTGGCTTGGCTCACGGGCAGGCAATGAGAGGCATGTTTATACCAATGAATCTATGAGCTCCTCAAAAGCCACCTGCTAGGTTTCCATCTCCCCTTTATTTATTTATTTTTATTTTTATTTTTTTTTTAAAAAAGACCATTTGAATGCTACAAACAAAAGCACCAGGTTCAAGTTTCATGATTGGCAAGACTTACTCTGAGTCCCCCCATTGACCTTATGGTCAATGGCAGAGGTCCTCAAACTTGGCAGCTTTAAGACTTGTGGACTCCAACTTCGGAGTCAACTTCGATTGAACAGGGTCCCACTGTTCTTCTGCCTTGCTGCTGTCAGACTCTGGAGGCTGCACATAACTATCAGATGGCCTTGGCCTCCTTTCTGCCTCCGATGCAGAGCCCTCGTCCGAGCTTTCCCCCAGCCCCCAGGACTGGCCCAAATTCCTCCCCAACCTCCTCACTGTCCGACTTTGCTGCCAACTCTGCTGGTCGCCAGCAGGCCACAACAGCTTCTGGAAACCTATAAAAGCATATTTCTTTCATAAAAGATATTCAAGGGCACTGATTATAATGCAAGGCTGAGCATTTTCTCTGAGTGGTTTATTGCTGAGTTGAGCTAAAATGTGGATCATCCACTTTAAATATATTGTGCTGGTATCTAGACTGCAATCATGTTGATGTTTTTGTTCTGTTGGGTCTATAAACATTTTAAGCATTTAAGGTCATATTCTTCAGGACATTTCTTATTGTTGGGTTTGACTATCTCTTTTAACTCCATCAAAAGATGTTTCCATTGCTTTAAAGTGGGGTTCAGCTGCATATTTATTACAATATAGTCTGCCACAGGGATTAATTTTGGGCTGAAAAAACAAAGAAGAAAATCAAGAACTATGGTAGTAATAATAGCAATAATGTTTGCTATCAAGATTTCATTAGAATGACCAATTAAGAGATGAAATTGCCTCTTTCATTCCTTTTTTTAAAAAAACTCTACAGATATTTGCTATAGAAATACAGCTTGGAAGGAACTTCACAAAGTATTTTTAAGCTTGAGGTGGAGGATTTTTTCCAGTTCAGTCAATTTATTTATTGGCTCTTAAAAAAACTTGATCCATTGTGGAGGGATCCAAAAGAAAATTCAGTTACATCTAAGTGTCATCCTTTCTCAAAATTTATCATGCCGTGCTAAGAAACTGCTCTTAAAAGTTGGTTTTCTTCTTCCAAAATAGAAAATACGTTTTTTTTTTTAAAAAAAAAACAGATTTCATATCTTACATTTTACCACCATCTCTTCAAGGCGTCACATAATTTCATTTCATTTCATTTTTTTTTATCAGTGAAGAAGCTGACCAAAAATATTTAGATAGATGACTGTATGCTGTACCGACTGAAAAAACATCTGTCTTCATCCTAGGCTCTTGATTATTTTTAGCTCTCTACTATCTTCCTGATGTTAACATGAAACCCTGAGAGCAACAGAACTCTTTTATTTTGCCAATCTGCTTTATTTTCACCCTATCCAGACAAATAGATATATTTTCTACTACTAGAGATAGATTAAAACCATTTTTTTTTAAAAAAAAACTTAGGATCAAGGGACCTGGGAAGTCTTCTAGTCCAACCCCCTGCTCAAGCAGGAGACCCTATACCAGTGATGGCTAACCTTTTTGCCATCGCGAGCTAGGAGGGGGGGGAGGTTCGCACGCACATGTGTCCACACCCATAATTCTATGCGCCCCACCTTGTGCATGCGTGTGCAACCCCTCTTTCCCCCCGCTCCTGGCACGCGATGGCCCAGTAGGCCCATTTTTCTTTCTCACCTGGCTCCAGATCCTCTCTATGCATCTGGGGAGGGAGAAAACAGCCTTCCCCACCCCCTCGGAGGGCCTCCGGAGGCCTGAAATGGCCCATTTCCCAACTTCCATTTGGACAGGAAGTGAAGTTTTTTGCTGTCTCCAGCCTCCAGAGCCTCTCTAGGAGTCTCTGGAGGCTGGGGACAGCAAAAAGCATCACTTCCTGTCCAACCAAAGTTGGGAAATGGGCCATTTTGGGCCTCCGAGGTGGTGGGGGAAAGCTGTTTTCGCCCTCTCCAGATGCATAGAGAGGATCTGGAGCCAGGTGAGAAAGAAAAATGGGCCTTCCCCCCAACCCCAGGCCCTCCAGAGGCAGGAAACAGCCTATTTCCCTACTTCTGGTGGGCCCAGAAGGCCCAAAACTCAGCAGGCCGGCATGTGCATACGTGCTGGAGCTGAACTCATGTGCCCACTGATATGGCTACACATGCCACCTGTGTCACGTGTGCCAAAGGTTCACCATCATCGCCTATACCATTTCAGATAGATGACTGTCCAGTCTTTTCTTTAAAACTTCCAGTGCTGAAACCCCTAGAACTTTAGAAGGCAAGCTCTTCCACTGGTGAATTGTCCTCCTGTTAGGAAGTTTCTCCTTAATTCAAAGTCACTTCTCTCCTTGGTTAGTTTCCATTGTTTCTTGCCTTGCCTTCTGGTGCTTTGGAAAATAAGTTGACCCTCTCCTCTTTGTGGCAGCCCCTCAAATACTGCTATCATGTCACCCCTGGTCCTTCTTTTCACTAGATTAGCCATACCTAATTCCTGCAACTGTTCTTCATGTGATTTTTTTTCTCCGGGCCCTTAATCACACTTAGCTATTCTTCTTTCTTCTTGGGAGGAGAAAATCTCCCAAGTCATTTGATGAAAATATTTGCTTTGTTTGAAATCATGCTAATGTGGAATTGTTATCCAATTCATTGCCTCTAACTCAACTCTACCCCACAAGGGATTATGGGGTAGTTAAAAGATGACGATGATGATGACTAAGCTATAAAGTAGTTGATTTGATTTTGAATTGGTGTGACATCATTGAAGACACGACTCTCATCCAACATTTTTGGAGCCATGCAAACTGTTCATATTCATGTCTCTGACATGCAGTGCTAAACCAGCAATTATTTGAATGAGGGTTGAAATAAATGTGTTGAAGTTCAGCTGGGTTTAAGACCCCAATTTTGTCTCAAGAAGATTTTCTATCCTGCCATATCTAATTACTTCATTGTATCATGGCCATACCCTCTGCTAAACTGGAAGACTGTGTTTTTAAAGTTCACCCTATTTGCAAAATCAGTGATTACCCTGTATCAAGGTTTGATGTCTGAGGCTACTATGACTTGTTTAACAATCCATTATTAAATAAAAACATGGCTTAGATAGATTGATATAGGGAGCTAGCAATTGTGAGATCGAAAGAATCCCCAGTGTCTTGGGTAATTCATTCTCCCCAATGAATTAAGTTGATTTGGCTGATGGCCTGGGCTGAACCTTATTGTTTTATTCAATGCCATGAAAACTGATGAGTGATAGATGACATGGAATTGGATGAAACAGAGCTGGGTACCAGTGGCCATTGAGAAATTTCTGTTGAATTTGTCGGCTAAGGAGTTGGGTAGGTGATTACTCCCTTTTCCTTTGTAGGAGGTTAGCACCCACCCCTCTCCTAGAAAAATGAAATATTCTAGGAAATATTAAAAAGGCAGAATATTAGACCGTCCTGGATGAGAAAAGGAGAAACATGCTCTTGGAAAGGAGCCCTCACCTTTGTTAATAGCCCCAGAAAGACAAAAGACATCTTATCTGCAACACAAAAGACCTCCGGCTCCAGGGTGATGGGATTAAGACATGGCCCTTGGGACATGATAGGATTAGCCCTCTACCCATCTCACCACATGGCACCTAGGAAGATTACATCACCCAGCAAGGTTAATCAAGCTTGGGACTGAGGACAGCCTACAGAGTTGCCCCTGCATAGCTCCATGGGAATCTGACAACCAATCAGAATACAAGCTCAAATTCAAAGCCCAAAAGAGGACATAAAACCTCAGCATCTCTCAGCATCTCAGCATCTCTGCTCTTTTTCTGCTCAGGAACTCAAGCCATGTGATCCTGTTCATCAATAAACCTTCTTTCCAAGCAACTTCCATGAATCCAGTGTCTTTTTCCCCACTTGGAACTGAACCCAGAAGGCTATTTCTTCCAACACCTTCTCCAGTAATTATCCAACTGTTTATCAAGGAAAGTACTTTCCCCCAGTAGTAACAGTAGCATTACCCCTGAAAAACCCAAGGAACAATTTCCTTCTTATGTTCCTAATAGAATATTTGAAGTTAAGAAGCTACCAAGAAAATGAGAAAAAAAAATTATAAAGTGAAATGCAAGACCCAGGTACACATCATTCAGGTCACAACATTCCATTCCGCTCATTTCCCTGAAATCCTCTTGTTTTTGAAAAGCAAATTCCTTTTATCAACTTGAATGAGAAATGCTAGGAATAAATACAGAGCTCCTCCACCTAGCACCACCAAGTGGTCTACCCTTGTCAGAAAAGTAGCACAAACACAAAATTATCTGCTACAATGTCCTTCCTGTCAATGACTACTTCAGCTTCAACCGCAACAATACAAGAGCATACAATAGATACAAACTTAAAGTAAACCTCTCCAAACTCGATTGCAGAAAATATGACTTCAACAACAGAGTGGTCAATGCCTGGAATGCACTACCTGACTCTGGTTTCTTCCCCAAACCCCAAACCCCAAAAACTTTAACCTTAGACTGTCTACTCTTGACCTCACTCCATTCCTAAGAGGTTTGTAAGGTGCATAAGAGCACCAGCGTGCCTACTGTCCCTGTCCTACTGTCCCCATTTATTTGTACCGATTTCCTGTGTTCATATACATGTATATCTGTTATCTTGTACATGTTTGACAGACTAAATAAAATAAATAAATAAATAAATAAATAAAATTCAATAGTGGCTGATGTTGCTTGTTTACTTTCAAAGGCAACCATAGCAAGAACTTCGTGTGAGATGCCGTATTTGGCAGCCAAGCGTAGATGTTTGCCCTCATGTTTTACCTTCACAGCTACTAGCATCTTGTCCTTGGTGGGACTGAGGTTGTAGCACTCAGCCAGGAACACCTTCCCAAAAGCACCTTCACCCAGTTCTCTTTTAAGGATGATGTCTCTCCTCTTAATATGCTGGACATCTGCAAAAGGACAAAGAGCAGGAGAGGAGGAAAGCATGAATTAATGTTGACACAAACAACCATTGGCAGTTTGTTTGTTTTTTTTTATTCACCCTATTTGTACCCTATGACTATCATTAAGTGTTGTACCTTATGATTCTTGATGAATGTATCTTGTCTTTTTATGTACACGGTGAGCATATGCACCAAAGACAAATCCCTTGTGTGTCCAATCACACTTGGCCAATAAAGAATTCTATTCTGTTCTGTTCTGTTCTGTTCTGTTCTGTTCTGTTCTGTTCTGTTCTGTTCTGCTCTGCTCTGCTCTGCTCTGTTCTGTTCTGCTCTGCTCTGCTCTGCTCTGCTCTGCTCTAGTCTAGTCTTATTCCTATTCTATTCCTATTCCTATTCCATTCCATTCTAATTATTATTGTATCCTATCCTATCCTATCCTATCCTATCCTATCCTATCCTATCCTATCCTATCCTAGAACAGGTTCCCAATTTCCAAAAATGTGAGTTTATGGAGATTCTCAGTCACTCAGGTCATGGTTGGCCCAAAGGAGCTTCTTCCAGAAGACAACTGGACTTTGTTTTTCCCTTGAAGACGTTTCACTCCTCATCCAAGAAGCTTCTTCAGTCCAGTTGCATTTTGAAAAAGCACCTTTGGGGACAAAATGTGAGTTGTTCACCCATTTAAAAAAATCCATAATCCTTGAGAAGGCAGCAGGAGTTTTAGAACATTTCACCTTGTTAAGACATGCTCTCTGCCTTCAGAAGTTTTGCAAGGTATCTCTTTGCTCAAAGAGAAGGTGGGTGGGCACCTTGTCTCATGTTTTTTTCCCACCATTTAACTGATGGTTCTCTTTCCAAAATTCTCTCCTCCCTCCCCCCCATTTATTTAGTTTTGCAGCAGACAATTATGCTTCAGACAAACCTAGAATATGAATTTGCTTATATATAATATTTATCTACATTACTGTTGCATTAAAAAAAAAAAACATGTATGCACTGAAAATCAATGCTATCTATTTCTTCCAGAAACAAATCAGTATTTTTTGAGGGTGGGGGAGGAGATGGATGTCAACTTGCAAAGCTTTCAAGTTGCCATGAGCAGGAGGGAGGGAGAACTGAAGTGAATTCCATACATTCTTCCTGACCGCAATCAGAAGGAGGGTGTTAGGTTTCACAGCCAGCCAAAGTGGTTAATTGGAGAATGTGATTTATGACATGGCCAGAGAGGAGGGGAGAGACAGGGTCATAGGGGAACGTAAATCTACGTGGGATCAGTCCTAACTGCATCCGAGTATTGTCGGAATGGTGCTCCTAATAAATGAATATATTTCCTTTGAAGTTGGGATCATGGCTCATGAATTAATTAGGGCATCTTTCGGAAACTTGACAATGGAATTACATTTTAGGTCAAACATATTTGGGACCTATATTCCAAGGATAATGGCAACACAACATTTCCCTGGTTCACAATAGTTCCATCATGCAGGAATTAACATTCTGGGGGTAAAGAAACTCAAGCAATTCAGATAATAATTTCCTTATTGCAATTGCCACCACCATGAAGGCAGATGGAGAAAAGCTGGGAGACTGTGAAATGCAATTTCATAGTGGGGTGGGGAGGTGTTACAATCTCACTACCTCCCTGACATTTCATTGACCATGCAACGGAATCTATCTACGTTTTGGAAATGAGCTTGTCGGAATGGAAACTATTTTCAAACTATTTCCATTCCGATATGAGAAAATAGCTAAATCTATACCGAACATAATTTCCAAACAGGAATATACCTATTACTGCCTAAGAGACATACAACTACCGTGGACTGTTAATGAAAGCACAACGAAGGGAAAATATCTGGAATGGAAGCAATTCGAAAGAGTGGGGGCTTTTTTAAAAAACAAATGAAGGCAAATATATGTGTCCCAGGAGAATGTTGCAAGATCCAATCTGGGTTGGTCACCAGGACCAAAGGTTGAGTCTTCTGAGCTTTCCAACTCATGCTGGAGCCCATCCTCAGGGAACTCCTCTCTAGCAGAATGTAGGCTATTCTGTGTATGGTATCATATGGTGCCTGGTTGTGTGTGGCTTTTTACTTATTGATTGGGATGTAAAGGTAAAGGTAAAGGTTCCCCTCACACATGTGTGCTAATCGTTCCCAACTCTAGGGGGCGGTGCTCATCTCTGTTTCAAAGCCGAAGAGCCAGCGCTGTCCGAAGACACCTCCGTGGTCATGTGGCCAGCATGACTCAACGCCAAAGGTGCACAGAACTCTGTTACCTTCCCACCATAAGGTGATCCCTATTTTTCTACTTGCATTTTTTATGTGCTTTCGAACTGCTAGGTTGGCAGAAGCTGGGACAAGTAACGGGAGCTCACCCCGTTACGCGGCGCTAGGGATTCGAACCGCTGAACTGCCAACCTTTCGATCGACAAGCTCAGCACCTTAGCCACAGCGTCCCTTTTGATTGGGATGTTAATGGACAGCTATTCAGTCATTGGTTGTTGTTTCTTTGTGCTACTAAGTCCTTGGCTCCTAAGTACCCGATAAGCTGTGTTTATTTAAGGTGTTTCTTCCCCCCAAAATTAAGTTAATAACATCCATTGAACACTGAGAGGGTTTGTCAGATGTAAATGCCTTATTCTCCAATGTGTAAATAATGTATATATGGAACATCAGAGGTTAACTTATTCTTTGGACTTTAATGTATTCATAACTTACCACTCCCATTCCTAACTCCACCCCTTGTATATATAAGGAGCCACCCTCACCATTCTCGGGCGCTTCTACCTTGAATATTCAGTGAATATAGAATGCCTATCATAATTAAAAAGAAATATATTTAAAAGCTCTAACTCCTATTATCTTTATTGAGTCTGATCCTGAAAATATTGCAACAAGCTGGTAGCAGAGGATGGTTAATTGACTCAATAAGTAATTAAAAATGTCCAAGAAAGATAGCCCAACACCAGGGCCTACAGCAAAGAAATAGAAACTGATCAAGAGATGATCAACGAATCCACCAATGCGATTTCGAGAGAATCCGAAGAATACACCACTGAAGAAGAAGAACTAATGAGTGAAAATAATGACCAGAAAGAAATCGAAATAGAAAATAACGAACTCAGGTCGGAGATATTAAAGATACTAAAAAGCCAAAAGAATGATGAAAGTCTCATCGCGGACCTCCAGGAGATGCTGAAGAACAGCGGAGCAGCGAGAGAGAAAAACGTCATTAAAGAAAAACCCAAAGATCAAAAAACCGTAAGTGAGATGACTACTGAGAAAATAGTTGTTAAAAAGAAAAGATGTGATCCCGCGCGAAATTTTGAATGGCAGCCATCTTGGTTTCAACGAACTTCAAAAGAGAATGGAGCAGAGCCAATCAAAACGCTCAGTTCAAAATTTCTGGCGCGAAAAACACTATCAGACGAAGAAAGTGAGAAAGAAGTCTCAAACTCTTCAGATGATCCAAAATCAGAAAGTGAAGACGATTTAACAAAATCTCAAGTAAAATCAGCAATGAAAACGCTCTTTGCTGCTTTTGGGCCAAGACTGAAAATTACCAAGACATCTACGAAGAAGCAAGAAATCAAACCGGCGACTCAAGACCTGCACGCTCCCATCCTGACTTCGAAAGCGACGACGCCCGAGCCCAGAGAGCCATGCCGATTTCGCCCTACACCACAGACAAGATCGAATACCAACGCACACAAAAAGAAAAAAGAAAACCTTCCACGACGCCACCAAAGAAGAAATGAGCAACGCGCATGTGCGAAACTACGTAGACGACCCAGAAGGACTTGAACTGGCCAGAGAACCCGCAGACTCATTGCAAGCATCCCAATGCCATTCTGTAATTTCCTGCACTTGAGAGATCACGGACTGCCCCAGGTTGTAAGTAATGGACAGAATAATATAGGTAACTTACCCAGTGACTTCCCAAAACTTAGAATTGATGGCATTAATTTACAAGAGTGGTATCAACAGCTTCAGGTTATTTTCATGAAAGAAAATTTACTATTCTTTATAACTAGCCCTCCAAGAAGACCTTGGACTTTAAAAATAGATTGTTTACATCATAGAGCATTTTTTCATAATAATATCTAGCGTGTCTCCTGCAATGTATCATAGCATCAAACCAAACCTAACTGTATCAGAAATAATTCAATGCATGTTTAATCTATTTCACAGCGATAGCGTAGCTACAACCACAAGAATGTCTAAGGATTTCTTTTTCCTCTAGAGTAAAACCAGGGTTTCTATAAGTGAGCATTTGATAAATCTAAACAAAATAAGAGCTGAGCTACAATTGAGGGGGGAAGTGATTTCAGATCAAACAATGAAAAGTGTTATTATCAATTCACTTGATCCATCATGGGATAGCTTTATGTCACACTTAGATACCATTAATTTGGGATATTTATCCATAGAAAGTCTATCTAACAAATTGATAGCAGAAGACAATTCAAGAAAAAATCGATCCAGTAACCAAACAGACCACAAACCTTTTAGGAAAGTAGTCTTTCAAGATAAACATAATGAGGCTTTAGATGCTACAATTGTGGATCCAGGGAACATAGTAGAAGAGACTGCCCCAAAGTCTCAAGAGAGAGACATAGACCAGAATATAGGAGCAAATATAATTACAGACAATCTTCCACAGATAGACACAAATATAGAAGTCCACCTAATTACAAAGAAGGTAGAGGGGGTAGAGAAAATTCAAAAGAGAGGAAATCTGGGTCACTGAATGGGCTAAATAAACAAGACAGCACCAGAACACAACAGGATGAGAATAACAATTGGCTTATTGATTCTGGTGCAACAAATCACACCACCAACAACAAAAGTATATTATCTTCATTTATAGAAGATAAGTTTGTGATAAAGGTAGCTAATCAAGAAAAGGTTCAAGTACTAGGCAAAGGAAATGTGACCTTGCCTGGTCTAGGGAAAATAGAGGGGTATTATTAATCCCAGAAATACCTCACAACATACTAAGTG